CAGAGCAGAGGCGTGTTTGTTTGCATGCATTTCTGCAAGGGGTGAGGAATCTATGATTTTGTGTAGAGAAGGTATGTTGGATCACTATTGAGTTTAGAAAAGTTCCCTTGTGCTCATAATGTTGTCAATCATGAGAGGAGTTTGGATATTCAAAGAGATTAACTCATGCGGGTTTACCATAACCACCAAGTAACTCCTCTAATTCAAAAATTCTCCATCAGTCTAACTCATCCATTCAATGTATGAGAATCCACTAATACAGAGTAAAAATTCAAAAAACTTTAAAGAGATAGAGGAAAAACTTAAAATTTTTAAAATAAAAGAAAGAAATTTTTTTATAAAAAAAGTTATAATTTTATATAATAGTTTTAATTTCTTATATATTACTAAGTAAAAAAGTAGTTTATAAAAGCTTTTTATATAAAAATCTATATATATTAATTAAGAATTTGAAAATTTTATTAATTTAATAAACTAAAAATTAAACTTTTTAATTAATATTTTATTAGAAATATATAATAAAATTAATATTTATTTATTTTTACTTTAAGTAATTATAGTAGTTATTAGATCTTAAATTTAATTAAATTTATAATAAAAATAAAGTTATTTTTTATTATATATATCTCAATTTTTTATAGTTTTAATAATAAATATTATTTAATTTTATTATTAAAAGTTTAATTTTTAATTATATATTTTATTATATAAATAAAAGTTTTTAAATCTTAAAATATTTATAATAACTTTAAATTATTTTTTAAGTTTTATATTTACTAAAATTTTAATTAATTATATAAATAAATAAAAAATTAAAAGTATATATAAAATAAATATTTAAAAGTTTTTATATAATTTAATAAAAATTTTTAATTAAAAATTATTAAAGCTTTTAAATATGAAATTATTAAAATTATTATTTTAATAAAATAATATTAAATATACTTTAATAAAAAAAGTAAAAAAAACTATCATATAAAATTTAAAATAAAAAAGATTTAACAAAAAAAGAAACTTTTAATCTTATTATTTCATCTACTGAGATAGTTGAACTATCTGTCATTCAATGTATAAAATGTTTATCTTTAGTTTCAACACCATACTCACAAGCTTTATCATAGTTTAGTAACTATGGTTCTCACATGCATAGAAGAACAAGATATCCTAATCCTAGTACAATTTAATTCAAATTTAATTTAGGTGTTGGTTGAGCATAGATATTTGAGTTGAAATCTATTTAGTTATTTATGGTGAGTCGCTTTGATGTGTGGATTACGTTAGGAATAATGAAGGATGGAAAACTCAGGAAGAAAGCCAGTTGGTTTCCAAGTAGCTCAGCGCTACAGCCCGTTTGCTTCTTTTCGACCTGTGCCTATTTATTTTGAGTAATAATGGTGTCAAAGATGGAAGCGGAAGACAAGGCTGGGGTGCTGGGATTTATACATGTGATTGATACGATTGATACGATTTGAGATCGAGGGATGCCGTGCTGTAATTACCCTTGTCCGAAACCTCCGGTCCACACAAGTTTTCATAGCCTATAAAAGCACAGAAAGGTTTTCATTATCTTTTAAACCCATGAGCTGCATTGAGTCCTTAACCTTAAGAGATCGATATACTGCACGTATATCATACATGTGATTGTGAGTCGAGGGTTGTTTGTTCGCGGTGATAAGAAGAATTCTAATAATCCCTCAAATCCGCTTATTCGATCGGAAAATTTGAAAGTATGGTGGAACCGCTGTTGCTCAGTAAAAAAATATGTAGAGAGGGCAGAAGGGAAATTATTGTAACTAGAGCTCAGATGCATTTTGCAGGTCTGTTAGTGAAATCAAGAAGAACCTTGGAAGTTGAGTTTTGACAAAGTTGTTGAACCAATGCCAACACATGCCAATGGTTGTTAGATTTCTTTATTTTTCGTCGCTTTTTTAATTTTTTAATATTAATTTAATTTAAATTTAAATTTTTGGCAATTTTTTTGACTGTTTAAAAACTCTGTCAGCACTCACCTCCCGTTCTGCTGTCTGTATACCAAGCTGTCCAAAAAGCCGATATCTGAAAAATAATAATAATAATAATAATAATAATAATAATAATAATAATAATAGAAGAATCTTTGATTCAAGGACAGGTCAAACGGGCCCAGAACCATTGACTGCTCTGGGGATCTCGGGGATTGCCACATGTCGTGGTACATTTTTAGCCAAAACTTTCATAGAAGAGCATATCAGGCATGAAGTCCATGTGGGCAACATTTCGCAGACCACTCCACAAACCTGCACAAACCTGCAGTCACTGCGCTCCTGAAACGCTGAACTCGGGCGGGAGCAGCGTCAGGCGCCGAAGAAATCTCCCCTGAAAATCCTACGTAACAGTGAAGACGTGAAAGAACCCAGGAGAAATGCAAAATCTGTCAGCGCGTTTGAGTGGAATCATATTATGGCTTCGTTTTTGGAGTTTAAGGATGTTTGTCTGCTAGTTATTAGTTAATATATTTCCCAAGTGAGTGCACACACCCAAGCAAGTGCAACATCAATTCAAAATATCTTTTAATTTAACTACTCTTCTACTTCAATGTGCAATTATACCACTAATTCACAATAAAAATGCTTCAGATTCTCTAAAAAAAGAGAGAAGATTTGAACTCACAGTAAAAGCTTTTAAAAATCAAGAAATTACTTTAATTCATAAAACTATTTGTTTATTTAATATCTTTTATTTTACTTTAATTTATCAATTAAATAACCAGCAATCAAGAATGAATTTATATACAAATTTATATAAGTTATCTTTTGCTGAAGAAGATAAGATAATTGAATAAGTGTTGAATTAGATTAAATAAAAATTTTTCTCACAGTCAGCATTGATTGAGAATACAGTTAATTATCTTTTTACTATATAGAATTTAATCATCTTCACTACTCTTCCTCTTTGCATTGGCAAGAACTAAGTGTTAAATATAGTGACACACTGTCTAAAGCTTCAAAGTTGCTATTTCAGATACTATAATCATGAAATAGATCAAGCATAAAGATTAGTAAATTATATGTGATTGATTTAAAATCTTGAGAAATATAATTGCTAAGTATGAGATTTTATTAAAAGATATATATAACTTTGATAAGATTGAACTTGCTATAAAAGTTTATATCATTGCTAAAAATATTACTAGTAGTGAGTGCTACAGCAGAGCAAAAGCTTTGATCAAATTATTAAAATCTGTGAATATAAGAATGATCAGTATTACTATTTATGAAGGAGTAATATCAGAATATATTCAATATAAATAAGATAGAGAAGTAAAAATGCAAGAGATCTAGACATCAAATTTAACAAAAAATAGAAGATTTAACTAGTAAAGAAGTTCAAATTCTTCTAGCTTTATCTGCATCATCTGCATCATCTGCAGCATCTGTTGAACAGTCAATTATTCAATCTTATTGAGTTCTTACTACTTGCATTTGCTTCATGCTGATGAGCTCTACAACATTGCAGCAATTGTAATATTCTTAAGCATACAAGATTAAGATGTTCTCAACTGTGTGTAATTTAATTTAATTTAATTTAATTGAGTGTTGTAGCATTGAGATAATTTGAATTAAAATCTAATAAGCTGAGCTCTGGTGATTTGGTGTTGCACTCACTTGAGAGTTGTGCTCACTTGGGAAATACATTAACTAACTAGTTATAGTTAGTTAACTAATAATTAACTAACTTTGGTCATTGTGTTCCGGATATTTCTTCTTGTGACCATTTAAAGAACAAAGTCAATGAGTGCAAACGGGATCTGCAAGGGAGCGTTTAGTTCAAAAGCAAAGGTCCACGGGCAATAAAATTATTACCAGCGCATGTCCCGTGGCATTTGAAAAGTGCGAAGAAAACAACGAGACCCATAACTATATTAAATGCCATTATGCTTTGCAATGAATTCAGGCAAGAAAATTCCATGCATATCTATAGACAATTCTTCATCGGACAACACACTGAACAGAGGGGAAGGACTCGAGCTACGTTGCAACGGAACAATTCCCATGTCCCTTCTCTTCTCCTGCAGGCCACACAGAGAATCTCCCGCTATCGATATCTCATCAACATGCCTGGCACTGTGTGAAACGCATAATATCGGGGCTGGATCTTAAAGATAACCACATGGCAACCAAAAGCAAGCCGGTCAGCATTCTTCTAGCAACATGGTCGTATCATCGGGTAATTCAAGCGTCATACCTGTGACTGGTTGGTGGGTGCTTATTTATTTCTTGGAAGTAATTTCGTCGCCCGGCATCCCAGTCGATCCCTCGCTAGTCTTGCAACAGTTTTCTGGACGAATTCCAGGGCTGGTTTAGCGGGCCGTGAAGCTAATGCAGCTAATCCGTTTAACCAATTGTTCCCCGAACTGGCGGTGTTGACGCACTGGATGCCACTGGAAGGTGGCTTGATGGCGAACTTTAACCGTCTGCCATCGAATTATTAACACACAAGGTTCGGTAATTACCATACTACATACCATGGAGCATTAGTTAACACTGTTTCGCATGATTCTGGTCAGCAACCACTTCCTTCACAGGGATTTGAAAGATCGAGTCCGAATGTCGGGATGTCGGCGTTCTATAGAGAAGATACAGCAGTCGGCGTAGAGAAACATGAGCGAGACAAGAACGTATGCGTGGAGGAATGGATATAGGAAAACCGAGATCGATCCTGCAGCAGCACCACAGCCGTAGGTAATAATATGCTCTGATATTGCTCTCTTCTTAGTCTCCGGTAGGGGAACATGTCAATTTTCCGTCAGCGGGCCAGCTTCAAGAGTCTAGCTGCAACTAAAACATAGCGGAGTCCACTACAGGATTCCTGCGCACTCCATCCAACTGGCTTTGACGCTATTGAGGAAAAATAAGTAAATCACTAACAACGACCAGCTCACGCCTTTGCCGGCTGTCATGCTGTACTCATCTTTCCAACAGCAGCAGCAGCAGAAGCAACAACAACAACACTGTTCCAATTCACTCCTTTGTATGCCTTGTTACCTGACTGGGTGTCTGCTCCTCGTTCGCAGGACTCAGCCAGATAAGCCAGCCATATGCTTTCCGTTCTCTAAAAAGTTGCTTCAGATGCCTCCTTGACCTCACGCAAACCTCCCTAGCAACCGCATATCCCAATGATTCAGCGGAAAAATAAACTCGTTGATACAAACCGTTAACCGGCCCTAATCGACAGTAGAACTTACATACCTAAATCCAAAAACTCCTCTCACTAATATTTTGAACACACCAAAGGCTTCAAACCTTTCTCTCTTCACAACGAGCTCTGATTTCCGGTGCCCACTTCGCGCAGAAATACAACAGCACAGAGCAGATTCTAGCCCAAACTCTGAGGCATTTAAGAGTTCTCCTTTTCTCGGGGTGCTCCGAGCCATTTCACCCTCTCGTGTGGTGTTTTTTTATTTTATTTTATATTTTGTTTAGGATTTTTTGAGAGTGTCTGAAGCTGTGGGAGGAAGCCTGTTACTGTCGCACCGACGGCACAACCGCCAACATAAGAAGCCGTAGCTCTTGTGCCACGCTCGGTTTCTGCACCATTGTCGTCCCCGATATCTTCACGCAACCTTATTTGCTGTTCCGGTCCGGTATGTGGAGCCATTTGTCGACTTCCCCGCTTAACTATGAGGCAAAAGTTCAGAATGATGGTCTCATCTCCATGCTCATGCGCTGGTTCATGTTTAACTTGCATGCTGATTGAGTTCTGATAGGAATTGATTGTGCATTTTAGCAGATTCGATTAATTGGTATGTATGCTCTATGCAAGACTATATTCAAGTTGTCAATGTTTTTGGCCCTTCCCCTTTACGTCTCATCCCCTATAATTTTGGGTTCTACGGCAACCATGGAGGTCTACAATCTCATAGCGCGGGGCATGGTACAAATTTGATATCACTTCAAAACCATTTTTCTCTCAAGCCATTCTCTGGGTGATCTCGGATTAAGCCTGATTCTTATTCATTTTATCATCTCAACTAATGATTCATTCTCACGACAAAAAGGTTCCAATTTCATTTCTTAATCATGGGTTGCGCAAGTTCTCAACCAGTGGATCCGACGGATAAGATTGCAGCTAGACACACAGCTGCGATCGACAAGATGATCCGTATGGACAAGAAGGTTCAGGATCGAACGGTGAAGATTCTTTTGCTTGGTACGTCACTAAATCTAAATCTGCAACTCGGGTAATGATCATCACTGGAATTTACTTGTTTTAATATTTATTCTTAGGTGCTGGAGAGTCTGGAAAATCAACAATAATTAAACAAATGCGAATTATCCATGCGGGTGGCTTCCCCGAAGACGAACGATACCAAAACCGCGCGGTCATCTACTCCAACATGGTTGTTGCATTCAAGATTCTCCTCGATATTATGCAGACGGAAAATATTGAATTTGAGTTTGAAAAGACAAAGGTACGAAATTTCGACCTTGATTCCTGCTGCTAAATACCGACGACTCTGGAGGTTTTGCTTATATAAATGCCGTAAAGCCACTAGCCAAGCTATTAGACCAGACAGAGCCGGACGTGGACACAAACGAAGCTTTTAGTGATCTCGCCGTCAAAGATGCAATGAGTGGAATGTGGCTAGATAGGGGCGTACAGAAAGCTGTTTTACGAGGACACGAATTTGCACTTCATGATAATCTTCAGTAGTACGGATTTCCTTTTTTTTTTTTTTTTTTGATATCATGGATATTTCGGGAGATATATCAATTGACATACAACACAGCTATTTCAAATCTCTCAACCGCGTCTTTACCCCTGGGTGGTTACCCAACAATCAAGACATGCTTCATTCCCGACTTCGTACCACAGGCATCACAGAAACCTTATTTGAATTGGGACAAATAAATTTCCGAATGATGGACGTTGGCGGGCAACGATCGGAGCGTAAGAAGTGGATTCATTGTTTCGAGGGGGTGCAGTGTCTTCTATTTATGGTTGCTCTGTCAGGTTATGATCAATGCCTTGTTGAGGATCAAAATGCAGTAAGTTCGAAATTCCCCCCCTTTTAACAAAATGTATAAATAAATGGAAAACCTTAGCATGGCTTACATATAATTATGTTGTTGACAGAATCAAATGCATGAAGCCATGATGCTATTCGAATCTCTGGTAAACGGGGAGTGGTTCAAACGGAAACCGGTGATTCTATTTCTCAATAAAATCGACCTCTTCAAGGATAAGGTCTCTATATCCCCAGTGTCTAAATTCTTCCCGGATTACCATGGCGCAGACGGCGATTATGATGCGGCTGCTAAGTATTTCTCTGACCGATTTCGCGGCATCACCCGCGTCCCTGAACGGGAGATCTACATCCACTACACAAATGCTACTGATACCACCCTATTAAAGGCCACGATGGATTCAGTGCAGGACATGATTATCCAGAAGAACCTCAACAACCTGATTCTGTAGGTGCCAACAGTGCTAGAAATGAAACTGCAACGGAGCTCCTAGTAGGAGACAATTTATTTTGCCGTGATACCGAATAGAGTCTGCTATTATCACATTAAGTCTGACACCCCCCTCCACCGCTCCCGGGATTTCTCCACGCACCCTGTCTCATCTCCTTTTCGTTTCCTTTTGATGGCTAAGATTTTTTTTCTTTTTTCTTTTTTCTCTCTTCTTTTTTTTTCTATTCTTTTTTTAATTGTCTTTTAAGTTCAAGATAGTATTGAGAATTTGGCAACTGACACTGACTGATACCTTACCTATAGGCTTTAAAATATATGATGTTTTGCTGACTTTATTTGATATCTTTTTTTTCTCTCATTATTCTTTGTTTATATTATTCTGCAATCAATAAGATGAGCATTTATGAATATATTCTTCTGTATATTTTTTTCTATTATTGATTAAGTTTTTTACTATTTATGCCTATATTAGTTTCTTTTATATATATTTTATTTGATCTTTTATTTTATATAAAAATCTACTATTTACTTTTTTCTTAATGTTTTTTTATTATTTGATTATTTTTTTACTACTTTTGAACTTAATTACTAAATTTTTATTAATAATTTTATTTATTATTTAATGGTAAAAATTATATTTAATTTTAAATACTTTAATTTATAATTTTTTTATTAATTTTTAATCAGTAAATATAAAATATTAAAAAATGATTTAATTATATATTAAACATTTTATTTTACTCTATTTTATTATTATTTTGTTATTAAAAAACTTTTTTTATTTATTTTTATATTTTAATATAATTTAACTTTTTAAATTCTTATTTTTGATTAAATATATAGTTCGTTTTTTTTATTTTAAAAATAATGTTAATACTTTTAAATATTATTATTATTTAATTAGTTAGTTATTGATTTTCTATTTAAGAATAATAAATATAATTTTTATAGAAGAAAAGACTGTATTATATTTATTAGTACTGTTATATATCTATATTAAGAGATTTAGAAGCTAAACTTACTTTGTTAAAGCTAAGAAGTTTGATTAACAAAAAAAGAATTTATTTAATTGATTAAGTGATAAGATTCATAATATATCTTTAAATTCTTTACTTATATTATATAAATGATTGTGAGCAGCTGGTATTACTACATAACAAAGATCATTACTCAAATAGAAAATTCTAAAAGTATCAGAATAGAGCTCTAAATTAAAGAGATAATTATTATAATTATGAAATTTTATCAAAAATATTTTTTTGATACTACTTTCTTCTATATCATAGAAATTGTCTTTCTGCAACACTGTCATTACTTCTCTAAAAATATTCATATTATCTTATCTTTATATATGATGATTGTTCTGTCTTTATATCATGCTTATGAGCTCTATAAAAATATAGTAATTGTAGTTCTCTCAGACATACAAGAATAAGATGTCCTCATTCTAGTGATATTTAATTTATTTTAATTAGCCATTGTTGAGCATAGATATTGAGTGTTAAAATCTATATATTGAGATATTTTGATTTGAGTGTTCACTCAAGTGGTTTGATGGTTGAAATGCTTATCTTATTGTAATCAATAAGTGAGTGAATCATATAAGTGAGTGAATCACTTCCCACTCTCTGTATAATGAGAATGTCTTCAAAGTCTCAACTATAAAGAAAAACTAGCAAATTACATTATAAATTATTTTCTATACACTTAGAGCATGTATAGACAGTATGCTCAATAATCTCATAGACACTACACTGTGATGCTGCATGTTTTTGTGATTGCAACTCAACAGTCTCAATCACTTTCTGCTCTCATTCATTGACTCTTCATACACAATTCAAGCCTTCTTCAACTCTCAAAGCACTCTCTTGAGCTACATATGTACAGCCTCTTTTTCACTTTCTCTTTTATTTGGCATTTTAAGCTCTTAGCTCTCTGTTTTCAACTGCTAGAATAGCAACACTGTGCATTGTCATTTGACATTCCTTGACCAGCTGACTTAAGACATGATTGATTGAACTGAGTGAGCTCTATGTACAGTACTTGATATATTCTTTAAATTTCTCAGCCTGCTGCTTCAATTGATATACATTATGTGATGTGGCTGTCACCCAGAAGGCCTGAGAGCTGTGAAATGTCTCTGAGAGGATGAGGATATGCATCATGATATTAAGCTGTGAGAGAATCTGCTCAGAATTGTACAGAACCAGTCCAGCAGCTCTAAAGCTGCTCTTGATGTTGCTCTCAGTCAGAGTCTGCATCTAAGCTGCAGGATAAAGACTTAGAAACTTCTTGTTGTCAATATGATTGATTTTAAGCTGCATCTGATTTTCCATCTGTCATCTGTACACAGTTTTCAGAGGTGAGAAGCAGCCAACATCTAATGACTGAAGAAGATGGGAGGAATGTGACAGCAAGTAGAGGGCAATGATCTGATTCTTAGTGCAAAATTGATCAAATTCAGCTAAGATATAGTCTAGAATCAACAGTTGATATCTGCTTTTTGTACAGAGTAGAGTCTTTTTGTTGAACATCTCTTTCAGTCAGTACAAGCCCAGCTGGTCAGTGATTCAGTCATTCTCACTGACTTCAATCACTCAGTTGCATGGTAGCTCTTCTGTCTCATATCAGCAGAATTGATGCATTTTTTTTTTGAGAATAATCATTATTGTTAGGGAGCGAATGCGAGCTGCATAAGAAGAAAGACTCTCTGCGTTGCTAACTGCTATATAACGAAATACTAAGCTTGATGGGATGAAAGGGGGTGCTGGGGCCTGCGTGGATTATAACCACCTGCATGGTCGTGTGGTCACGTGATATGGATTAGGCCTAATCGGGCGCCGAGCTTAATCCGACGTCGAGTCTAACCGGGCACCGGCCTTCGGTCGGGCTCGGTCGGACGCTGAGCCTAACAATTATATGCAAGGCTCAGTCAGTTGCATTGACTTCATCAATAACAGTCACTCATTTCTGATTTTCAGACTGTACAAGCTTGGAATTCTCAGCTTTTTCAGATTCAGTCATCATTCTGACAGTTTCAATTACACTCATCTGAAACTCTGTCTCATCAAAGTTGTAGATATTATCTTTCAGAATCTCATACTTCACAATAGTGTTTTGTACAAGTCTAAATCACTCATGAATAATCTCAGAATCCTCACATAGAGCTTACTGATGATCATACTTGTGTGAGAACTTGAATTTCAACTCATCATGATGCTTGACAAAGTTTTGTACCCAGCATTCACCCACTGTAGGTGGGGGGTTGAATCTTTGACTGACAAGAAAATTGGCAATTTCTCATATAGCTGCAACTCAGAGAGGCTGATTTCACTCATCCATGACCAGAATTCATTGAACAAGAGATTCTTTCTCTGTAAGACTAAGTTTTCAGTTCTTTGAAGATGTGTCAACACATGCTATATGACCATGTATGCAATGAGTTAAAGTTGTATAAGAGACTTCATATAGCTTTGCTGCAGCTCATACACTTGAAATTTGATCATTTTTAAGTGCTTGAATGGCTAAAAGAAGCCTTTCTTCCTGAGTAGAGGCTTTATTTCTTTGTGTGATTGACATTTTTGATGCAGAGCAATTCTCATTGTATGAAGAGTGAGAAGTAGTTCATTCACTTATATGATTCATTCACTTATTGATTATTGATTTGATTTGATTACTTCATACACTGACCCAGCTGCCTCAAAGACTGCTATGCAGGAATAAGCTAGTCTTAATCTGTCCAACTACTCAAAATATAAGCAAAACAACCAATGCAGTCACTAATTACAAGATTTTGTTTAAATCACATGCAGGCAGTTATAAAAGAATTGAAAATTTGACATAGAAAAATAGTAGAAAGAAAGAAACATGTTATTAGTTAGATTTTTTCTTGTGTCTGTTGTACAATTCTTATCTTATCTGTATGCATTGCTGTGATGAGAGCTGTTGAGCATCTGAAATAATTAAAAACTCATTACTTGACAGTTTAACTCTGTACACTTCTAAATTGCCCAAGAAGCTTAGTTTTAAGCATGAAGTTGATGGCCTGGGCTGCCATGTCTGAATCCATAAGTATTTTTTGAAGGTCTGTAGTTCTTTCTTCATTTCAAAGTTCATTGTGAAGGCTAACATGTCTGTTGCAGTTTAGTAAAACATGCAAAATTGTTTGATTCTCTTGTCCACATTTGCATCTTTTGTCCTCAACTTCTGAAGCTTTTCTTGAGAATAGAAATTGTTGTAGTCTGATGTTGACTGTGCATAGCTGGGTTAGAACACTTGATAGTGGTCAGGTCAGTTTTGTATGAAGCTTTGATATTTTCTCACTGGGTTCCTCAGCTATTCTGAAGAGATCACATTCTCATTTCTCTTGTTTCCAGGTCTCTTTCCATTTCACTTCCATTTGAATCCTGAGTCTAGTTTTGAGAAGCTTCAGTGGTGTTCAAATGTTAAATTGTGATGCAGTTTGATCTGTGTTCTTCTGCACCTTGCAATCTCTGATGTTTGTAATCAGTCTTCATTCAGTAGCCTTCTTGGCTGCAATATCTGCTTTTTTGTTTTCTGAGATGTCTTCATGTGCTGATATTCATCTGATCTTGACCTGGATGTTGTTTTCTTGAAGTTGGTTTCAAATGTCTACTATTCACTTCATTATTTGTTGTCTGTTGATCTGAGGGTCTTGAATTGCTTGAATTGCTGCTTGGCTATCTGAGAAGATGACTGCATTTGTCTGTAGTATTTCTGCCATGAATAAAGCTGTTTGAATCCTCTTGAGCTCTGCCAGATAAACTGTGGTCCTGGTTGCACTTCTCAAGTATATCTTTTCTGTGAAGTTAAGATTCTCTAGCACTACTGAGGCATCTACCTTGTTGATTGCACTTCTGTCTGTGTATATCCTCAGCTTTGTTCCTGTTTCTTGTTGATATCTGTCTTGGCTTTTTCTGATATCTTCTCTGTTCTCAATGTGTATATCTGATGGTGTTCATCAAGAGAGCACTATAAATGACTTTCTAATTTCCAGATTGTCAATATCTTCTCTTTCAAGTGTTTTTCAGCAGTGGCACTCATGTCTTTCCAGCAGTGTCCACTTTCTTGTTAGGCTTTCCCAATCATGTGAGTATCCTCTTCAGGTTTTCTCTTTCTGAACTCTGTTTAGAATTTTTCATTGAGATGTTGTTTTGAGTCTCAGATAAGTTTCTGCTGTTATTTTCTCCATGTACAGTTGAAGTGGTGGAAGATGTGCCTCTATATTCAGTGCTGATTCTGAGACAGTCTTGAATGAGTCTGTAATAATTTTAGCAGCTTTTCTTTGAACAGCCTTCAGCTTGTTTATTAGCAGTGCTCTATAGTTAGATGTGCTCTCAATTGACATGAACCACATCAATGCTGCAAAAGTCATTTGCAGTAGAATTATTGCTCTGTATATGCTTCTTAGCCCTTTATATTCTGTGCCTCAGGTGGATTCTGCTAGACTGATGAGAGCTTTTAATGTTTTGATTGTTCTGACTTTCAACTTTTCCACATAATTCTTCCACTTGAGCTGATCATCTATTATAAGTTTCAGAATTCAGCAGCATCAGCTCAGAGTTATAGTGTGTCCTCTTATAGTCATGATCTGATGATTATTGAGTTCTTCAGATCTGTAGGAAAGGTGAATCAGACTGTATTTGATTGAGTTGAACCTTGAGCCATGAGTTTTTTCCCTCTTGTTACACCTCTCATGTATCTTTTCCAGGGTTCTGCAGTTCACTTCAGCTGATTCACTTGTGGTCACTATATTCATATCATCAATTCAGTCTATAGCTGCTGTGTTGCTCTCTGTATCTTGACATTCTTTCATCAGATCTGCATTGAAGAACAGATAAAGCATTGATGACATGAAAGATTCTTGTGATATTTCTGATTTGACATTCCTCTCTTCTGAACTTTCTTCTGATAGTTTTATTGAGATTCTTCAGTTTGTTAGAAAGTTTTCAATTCATTTCACTACAACTATTGATATCTTTCTCTTTCTGAGATTGTGAGTAAGCCTTGGATGTGAGACATAGTCAAAGATGTCAATTGCATTCAATGATAGTACAGATACTGTCTTAGATGTCATCTGCTCTTTAAGTGCTGTCTCTATCTTTTCCAGTAATTAATGCAGTGCATGTTCAGTTGAGACATCTTTCCTCTCTTCCAGATGTAATTCAGAAAGTAGCTCATACTTTTCCACTCAATATGATAGTCTTTTAACAATGATCTTCTTGAGTAGTTTGCTCATTGTGTTGAGTAGAGCCACTGGTCAATATGATTTAGTCTGAATGTAGTTTTTCTTTTCTTGCTTTTTGAGTGCTACTGTTATGAATCTTTGAAAGTGATCTGAACAGTATCCTTGTTTCATGCAGGCATTAAACAGATCTGTAAGAACTGGCACTAGTTCTTCTTCTAGTATCTTGAGAACTAGGTTCAGGATTTCATCTGAACCTGGTGCTTTCTTTGTGACTACTTTTTGAATAGTTTTCTGCACTTCTATGACTGTAATTTCTGTTCATGCAATTGATTCTGAGTACTCTGCTCTGATTATATCATCCAGTTCTGCTATATCTGAGAGTGGGAAGAAAGATTTGCTGAGTAGGTCATACTTTTTCTCCAGTTTCATTTCCAGTAAGTCTTGTTCATATTGTAGAGATAGTGTGTGTGCTGGTCTATACTCTCTATTTTTTGCTCACTTTGCCAGTTTTTAAAGGCCTTGCATAGATTCTGTGACTTTCTGAACTTTTTCTCTGTGATTTTTTCTAAGCAGTTTTTGAATGAGGTGTTTCTTGTAGTTTCTTGCTTCTCTATACTCTTTTCAAGTCTTTTGTGTTTGTGATTTCTGATGAATTCTTCACAGCTGTCTCACTTTCATCTGAGCTTCTTTTATTTCCAGAGTCCAGTTTGAGATTGATCAAGAACTGATGTGTGAGCTTGAGCAGTGTGTTTCAATTGCTGTGATGACTGTCTTGATTATGTCTTTTAGATAGTGATTGATTTCTGCTCTGTTCTGTGATTTTATTGTCATTGACAGATTTCTTTTAACATTCTCTTTGAACTCTTTTTCTTTCATTCTATGCCATATTCTTGTTTTCCTAGGTTCACTTTTGACTGTTGATATGTTCAGAATTGTTGCTACTGGTAGATGGTCTGAGTCATGGTCTAGCTCTGTGTCTGCTAGATCACAGCATACCACTCTTTCTTGCATTCAACTTGTTCTCAGAATCAGATCTAGTGTTGATGACTCTTCTCTTTCTTGATGTGTTCTGGCTCCCACCAGTAGAAGTAGACTCAGCTGGTGGCTTGTGATCAGCTTGAGCAAGACCTCTGATCTCTTCAATGTTTTCCTTGTTCTGAATTCTTCCCACATTAGATGGTGTAGGTTGAAGTCTTCTAGAACAATGTGTTCAGCTTCTGATTCACTATTCAGTGCTTTTTGCAGGTTCAATAGTGTGTCTTCTGCTTCTAGTGAGTGTGTTATTGAATTGTATATGTTGTGTATGCAAATTTGTTGATTCTGATCAGTTCCTTCTTGAAGTTTCAGAGTTACTAGATCTGATATGTGGTACATGTATATCTAGTTCTTAGCTATATTCTTATTTATGAAGAAACATACTCTAGTCTTCTCATTCTTCTGATATATCAGATTGAATCTGTCTTTAATTAGATGATATGTGATTTTCTGAAATTTGTTTCTTCATGGTTTCTGAATTGCTATGATGTCATACTTCAAAGCTGTTTGACTTGCAAGCAGTGATGCCATAACTTGATCTTGAGACTTGTTGACATTGTATTGTAGAATTGATAGAGTTGTACTATTCATCACAGATCATTAGTGTGTCTGTGTTCTGTGTGAAGATAGAGGTCTCTTGATCTTCATAACATTGATGTTTGTTGTTGTTAACATTTATGGCTGATAGCATCAGTTGTTGATTGCTATTTAGCTTTTGTAGTATCTGTACAGCTGCATCTGTTTCTTCTTCTTTCTGAGTTTTCACTCTATGACTCTTTCTTGAGGACTGTCCTCTTTTCTGTCCTGAATCTGTTCTTATTCTTGATTGAAGAATAGATCTGATGAGTGTTGCATTTGTAGTTATGTCTTTTTTTTGAGTTCATGGTTCACTGGTGATACTCTGTCTGTGCTGTGCTGCTGCTTTCTGATGAGTAATAGATCTATTTTTTTTTCATTTCTCCAGTCTGGCCAGTTTCATCTTTCTCATCTCACACTGCACACTTCAGATGAGATGTTTTCCTCCACAGTTCACACATTTTACTTCACTTCTCTCTCTTGATCTCAACTTGCACTCATTGATATTGTGGTTTTTTGCACAATATCTGCATGCTGATTTTGTCTTGCAATGAGTTCTGACATGTCTGTACTTCTGACACTTGAAGCATTGTCTCAGCTTACAGATTCAGTCATAGTACTTACAGATAAACATTTGTGCTCTCATTGCTATTTCTTTGATGATTGCATTATCTGCATGTTCACTATTGTCAAATTCCATCATCAGAGTGAATGCTCTTTTGTCTTCTAGTTCTCTTTTCAGTCATTCTGTGTATATGATGTTCATGATTTCCAGTGTTGAATTGTTCCATCTTATCTTATCTTCAATTTCTTTGATGTTTGTGGCATCTATTGCTGTAGAGACTCCATGTATGAGAATTTCAAAGAATGTTGTTCATAGCTGTGCTGTTTCTCCCAGTGCTTTCAGTCATTTCTTCTTGTGTATCTGCATCTTTCTTGTTGCATCTTGATCATTTGTGTATAGTGTGATGTTCTCACTAAAGTGTCACTTTACAGCAAGGATTTTCATTTTCTTTAAATTCTGATTTGAGCTTTTCTTCAGTGATTTGTTGACTCTGTCTTTAATGATTTCTTCAGTGACATTTCATATTTCACTTTCTGAAGCAGTGTTGTCTATTTTGATTAGGATTTCCCTCAGTCTGCTTGAGGGCCTTGACTGTAGAGATGTCCAAAGAAGATATGGCTTTTGAGCAGCTTGAGTGTATAATAGTCCTGGAGTGCTAGTGGCTTTCTCCATTGGGGTCATTAAGATGTTCTTGATATAGATGATGTTCTTTTTCATCTCCTTCTGAGCTTTCACTGTGGCTTGGAGGTCTGCAGTTCATTCTGCCTGTGTTGACTGTTTTTCAGTTTTCTTTATGTAGGCAGTAACACTTTCCATGAATGCTACCAGCATTTGCCATGAGGGGTTTCTTGCTTTTCCTAGCAGGTTGTTATGATATTTCTTAAATGCTTTGATATCTGCTTCAATTTGGATAGCATGGTCATTAAGCTTATGTGGCTGGAAACCCACCTGCGGGGTGTTTTGGCTACTCACCATACTTCCTTGGTATTGGGCGATACCTAGATAGCCGATGAGTAGATTGAGCCACAGTATGAGTAAAATAGAGCGGTGGTTGTAGAGATATTTCAAAAATTCGGTTCCGACAGTATGAGGTTGTTTTCACTTATTGATTATGTTAACAACATGCTTATGTAATTGTGTCAATACAGCGCTTAGTTATCCAAATTTAGATTCAAAGCCAAATCGGATCTTCATCCAATTCTCAAGTACAAACCGACCAGGCTCGCTGTAGCACTGAATTCATACATCTCCTCCTCTCTCACCTCGCAGTCGCACAAGAGCTTATCTTTGCTAAGCTCTTGCTGCTACCTCATCCTATTCCAGCCATGTTTTCCTCTTCTGCTCGCTTCGTGGCTAGGTCCAGCCCAGTCAGCGCTATCCCAGCAACCGTCCGTCCCTCAAGTATCGTCATCATTGCTTCATCAAGTGGCTTGACGAGTACCCGTACGAATCAACGGCGATACTCCTCTTCAAAGCCTCCTGTGCCTCCCAGTGATGGCTCCCGTGGCATCGATGCCTCGTCACAGACTCCCGCCAAAGGCGTTAACCCATCGAAGAAAGAGTGCGGTGAGAAGTGTGAGGGCAAGACAGTGAAGCGACGGAACTGCAAGGATGCCAGCAACGTTTTTGCGAAATCGAAGAATAATGAACCATTCTTGAATCTTCCCAGTGTGCCTTCTACGCAACACCTTCATCCCAAAGGTTAGTTTTTACCCAGTTACGTCTTTGCCGCTTTCGGGGTCGTGTGATGTCACGTGTTCGGATCTATCACTTAATATATGTACTGTCTAACGGCTTACTGTAGAAATCTATGTGGCATCTTTCTTCTCGACGTATCGACCTATATCTGTTACCAACTCTGTGCCACCCCATTCCAACCCTGATTCTTTCTATGCCATTTTTTCCTGGAAAAAGCCTTCGAAACCCCGACCACATGATAACATAAATACCCTATCCCCCGCGGTTAATTCCATGGAAAACGTACCGCCCAATAGTCAGTCCAACTCCCATCTAGGAAACAACAACACCAGATCTGCCATCTCCCAAGGATCTGCTAAACACGCCAAATCGAACCAGCTAAGTGGCGTCGACGAGCTCCCCATCGAAGACATGCTTATCTCCAAGAAGCTTCGTCCGTTCGAACCCCCTCCACCACCTGTTCCAATGGACAGTTTCGGAGAACAGGATATCCCCAGCGAAGCTGAGCTCTCTGAATCTGAGCTGCAAGAAGGCGTGAGGGAGCAAAGCTACTCCACCGTCCTTACCATTACCGAATCCACCCACACAGATGGCCGCAAGACCTACGAAGCGCATAGCTCCCCACTCGTCAGTATCGATAACAAAGATGCACCTTCGTCGTCTGTCTATGAGGGCGAAAAAGTCATTCAAGACCAGGGCGGATCTTTTTCTATATCAGAACCAGAACCGGTATACCGACGGCAGCATCGCATATTGCCCGCCATAGGACGGAGAATCTACCACGCTATTAGTGTCAAAAGACAGCGCAAGTTGAAGATGAAGAAGCATAAACATAAGAAGCTGATGCGGAGGACGAGAATGTTGAGACGGAAATTGGACAAGGCATAAACCATATACCGACATATATATGTTAAGTTCTACTGGAAAGCATCTGTTCTTATGATGAGTTTCTTTATGTCCTTGCTGTTTTATCGTCGTCCTTTAGATATTAGTTCCAAGTCTCCTTTGCTCTTGTTTAGTCTATCTGGTTTCCCTAGTTTGTTTTGGATTCGCTCTCTCATCTCTCCTCCACATTTCTTCATTTCTCTGCTGTTTGCGTTTCTGTCTTCCATGACGTGGCATAGTTTATATACCTGTTATTGTGCGATTAGTTCAGACAGAACTCCGGACTTCGGACCCTTGCCTTAACCCCTTCGTACGCATATATTCGTACATCACTATAATCATCTCGGCGTATATTATAATCTATTCTTATTTTTCAAAGGCAGGGGAGATGGCGAAAGGTGATTAGGCCTCATTTTTGTATCTCAGGGCACTCGGATATTATAATACCTGTCCTTGCTCCGTTCTCTCTTCCCGTCCCTCCATTGATCTATTGCTCTAATTAATCCCACTAATTATTCTTCTGAGCTTATTTTAAATTTTCCACCCCGTCTAATCCTCCAGAAATGCGGAGCTCTGTTCCAACGGTTTCATTCACCAACTAGCGGGCATGTTTGTCGTTATGCTCTTCTTTGTTTATTACTTTATGAAGATGTGGAATATATAAAGGCCTTTCAACGTTTCGCCCCAATCTCCAATCTTCATACATCAAGCAGGCATTTGCTACAGAGTAATGGAAAGGAAATCCAAGATGAGTGATGAAGCTATGTTTTCAACATACGCCATCATTTCATATGAAGTTAAAAATGTCACCTAAACTACACTTTTTAGATACAGCAGTCAATGCGGACCAGGGCTGTAAAATTCCTACAAGATTGAATAAATCTATCATTCATCTACACCCTATGCAACCAAATCAATCATTTCTCATAATTTCTAATCATGTATATACATCATAAATAGAAATCCATAACATTCAGGGGATATTACGATATTTAAAATAGCCATGAAAGAAAAATTCAAAATGACTTGGACTTAAGAGGGATGCATGACACAGAAACAAACACTTACTCATAATAGCTCGGCTCTTGAAACAAATGAAACAAAATGCAAAAAACAAAAACCCATATAAAATCAATTCCACACAACTGCTTCCCTCCCTAGCCCTTACCCACTCCCATCGAAATGTGAACAATAGCGTAAGAAAGGTGAAATGGAAAAAGTCATCCGAGATACAAGGGCGTGGTATGCACCTCTATATCTCTAAGCACTTCGAAGCCCAAGTTATTTTTTCCCCAACACTTTATCTAACTGAATCTTCCCTCTGCCCTTGGCACACATTCCATTTTCCGAATGCCAAAGCATAATTTGTTCGTAAAAAAAAAAAAAAGAACAAGAAAAAGAAAAAGAAAGAGAAAGAGAAAAAAAAGAATATATGTAAATATACAATTACATGTTGTAATCCACGTTCCTCCTTTCCCTACACCGCCCAGGCGAAACCATATATATATATCTCACGACACACATAAAACGACAAATCGGTTCCAGAGAACCGACAAGGAACCAAAAAAAAGAGGGTAATGGGGGAAATATTGTCAAGCAAAAGACAGACTGGACTGGGAGAGGGAAAGAAATTGATGTAAACAGGACGAAAGGAGAATACGAGAAAAAAAGATAAATTGGGAATTTTCTTCTTTGATGTTAGTGGTATTTATTTTATCTTAACCAAACGTTCGTTGTCATGTATTGATATATATGCGATCCCGAGTTGGTAAAGATAGGCCTCATATGTGGTGTCGACGTGTTCTGGAGCAAGTGAGTTTCCAGAGTGACGTTTGTTTGAAAAAGAATTCGAACGTTTAGCAGGTGGCTTCAATGCTGGCACGAGAGTTCATGAGGAGAGCCACGATGAGGCCATACAGACCTGTGAAAGTTTACATAGGGTTAGGACAAATAAAAGAGTAGTTCAAAATGACCACTAGTACAAAGCGTGGAGGGTGAGACCAACCCAAAACTTCAGCGAAAATGAGAATCAAGATCATGGCGACGAAAAGTCTGCCTTGTTGGGCAGTTCCGCGGATACCAGCATCTCCGACGATACCAATGGCAAAGCTGTTGTCCAAGAATGAAAACCGTTAGTGGCTCTACTTTTTTCAATGGTTCATAAATTGTGCTGTTCATTTAGAGGTTGAACCTACCCAGCTGCCAGACCAGCCAGACCGACAGATAGTCCTGCACCCAACTGAATAAATCCAGTATACAGGGGAAGATCTTGATGCAGTTCGTTGGCAATGAGTACCGCTACGACTAAGCCGTAAATACCAATGATACCAGCCATGACAACGGGGACGATATCTGTGAGTTGTAAAGGAGAGAAGTCAGTTTTTTAAGCCGCTGATATCCACACAAATATTCCCATCCACAACTTAAGGAGAGAGTGCCCTAGGCCGATAGTCCATTCCTTCCGAAGATATGTTATTCCAGGATAATCTTACTCTTGACAATCAGATCAGGCCGCAAGACGGACGTGGCGCAGATACCCACGCCGGCTTTGGCGGTTCCATAAGCAGCGCCCAAACATGTGAAGACGATGGCGGATGTGCAGCCCAGAGCACCGAAGAAAGGCTATATTTTTCATCCATATTGCTATTAACATATCGTCAAGAAATTGACAACGGGTATGGTAAGTGTGCATGGGAATATAGAGTGCCGACGGAAGCTCGGGGTCATATGGGGCTACCCGAATCAGGCTGCCTCACGTGTTCACGAACAAAGAGAGGCATTACATACCGCGTAGACGGGACTAGAGGCGGAGATAGGGAGTTAGCATGATGGCGCATTGTAGATGCAACTTCCAGATGGACGACACTCCCAAGGGCCAACACCATATCTGTATGATTGCTATGGCTAGGGTGATATCTGGTTAGAGGATCTTAGATATCTTACCAGAGATCTGTAGGCATTTTGAAAGTTGTTGTAGGTGGTTGAAGTGAGTCTCCCGGAATGAATTTCAAAGGATTAAAAGATCCGGCTGGGTGCTGAGGCTCGCAGGAGAGATAGAAGGAGTCGGGAGGAATATCGAGATGAGTGTCGAGCTTGAAGAGTTTGGAGTTGTTTGGTATTTCTTTTGGGCTGGGAGAGATGCCGCTGACATAACCGGTTTAGCGGCCACATCACGTGAAGTAAATTTTGTGTCACGTGAAGTTGGGAAAGTTGGACGGTCTCTGAGTTACCAAGGAGTTACACTTATCATGGAATTGAGAAAGGAGAAAACATCTAAAGGGGACTTAGCCGATGTGGAAGATAATATCCAATATTGAGGTATAGCAGATTGGTGACTGCTAATATGTTTCAAAATGTATTACGGTTTACATTCTATCCAAATATTTCGTCGTTAGCGTATAGTAACTACGGTACCATAAAAGATGTCGTCCAACCACCCGTTATTCAATGACAATTCTTGACCCAGGAACATCAATATTGGTCCCCAGAATCAATTTTCCAGGTTTTCCTTTATCCTCCTCATTTCCCTCAGCAAACACAGAATAAGTTAGGCTCTTCTCTGACAATGCTCCAAAATGATTCGGCACAGATACAATTCCGTCATCCAAGCCATTGCTGGAAGACGTTTCAGCATCACGCATCTGTGCCGTCACGGACCAATCCAAATCAGAAGAAGGAATGACTCCAAAAGTAACTCGTGTTGTTCCTTTCAGGTCAACACCCTCCGCAGAAGCCCCTACCATCGAAGCAACCCGGGGGTTGTCCAAGGGGGAGATGAAAAACTGCACCGTATCACCCGGCTTAGCAATCTCAGAAAGATCCGTAGTGAAGCGGCCATCTTTGAACTGCATTGACCCAGGAAGTCCATCGGGCAAGCTTGGCATTCTCAGCTCATCTTCATCTCCTACATCTGAACTAGCCTCTTCGAATATTCCCTGGAGAGTTCGAATCTGTCTAGAGACCAGACCATCTCTTGTCTGATAGCTATATCCCGGATCCAATGACAGCAGTCCCTGCTTTTTCCCCCACCCACCCCCTCCGCTCACAACGCGATGAAGACGAGCGCCGTTGTTGATGACAGCAAGTGTGTCAATAGGTTCGCCATTGACGTCTGCAAGGTGATGTCCTCTCTTCGATTTTGTAGGCTCAATCAGAGCCCAGACTGCCACTCTCTGGTTTTGAACGTTATTCTCTTTAAGATATTGCGGCAGCGATTTCTCAAGCTCCGCTGATGCGGGCATTGTCGTGCCAGACCCGTCACCTTTCGACACCTGGCTGATGATATTCCCCATGCTGGTTGCTATTTCTCGCGACTTCGTTACTGGGTAGAGTGGGACCTGCATAGCGACGGCCTGAGGTTCCATGGCGCATCTAATTCGACAAGCAGCGAGGTTATATTCATTGTCCAAGATTAGAGTGGGAATATTTGGGTCTGGGCTATACCGCCAACGCGAAGCAACCATGGTACGGGGCCTGCCGTTGACAAAGAGGGTATTAGCGACACGAATACCAACTTCAGAGAACCGCGCTGCTTGGGAGACTGGATTCGTGGGTAGTTGAAAAAGGCAAGATAATGAAGGTTCGGCTTCAGGAGTAGACATGTCCGGTTTCTGTAGCGGTTTCACCACCTCAATCGCCAGAGTATCCCTGTTGGCGATGAATAGAGATACACCTTCATACCCCTGTTGTCCAACTAGCACATTCTCAAATTGCCCTTTACCATGTAGGCCTCTTGGTGACGTATTGGGAGAAGGCAGCTTATCCACAACCGCCACCACAGCGTACAAGGTATTACCTCTACCAGAGGAACACTGTATTGCATTCTGGAAAATTCGAGTCATAGACTCGCGGAAAAAGGGCTTGGTGTTCACTATCCAAGATGCAAAGGCGGGAGTCACAAGCAAAACAGGGACATTGTAGGAGATATCCTGGCTATGCGGAAGGACTGGTAATTGCAATATAATATCTGAGGGCGTCTATACTTACAAGGGGTGCTAAGCAGGTTAACGAAGCTCTCAACAACTGCAGGAACGTAGGGAAGATGGTAGGTAAGCTGGACACACGCACCACTTGGGACGGCTTAGGAGTAAGCCAAGTAACGCAGTTAGGATTTGCCCTCGTCCCTCTCTGTCTATCGGAACTCAAACGCCGTCTCCATTGAAACGCAAATCCATTTCCATTTCCATTTCCATACCCATAACCTCCTCCGCATGTCCTCATCTGCATATTTGCCTTCCGCCCACTGCTGCCATTGATGCTGCCCTGCATCCAAAGACGCGGTCGAGAAGCCACCACTACATTCCCTCCATTACCGGCTGATCGTCCACTAGCTAAACGAGTTGCAGCAGAGCCAGGGAGACAGCGATTAAGCCCTGACATGTAAGAGCGGGCACGGAAAGGCTAAGGAAGAGGGGCTTTCGAAGGCGCGGGAGGGATGCGTCACGTAAATTGATTGACGCACGCGGTATTCAGGCTCGGTTTAGAGGCATTGCTAACGCCAGAGAGAGGTAGTCACTTTGAGGAGAATTTCTCGCCACGATTCGATTTAACTTATTAATTAACTGCTGCCCTTGGGGGGGTGTCAGCACGTCACAGTCACTGAACTACGTGCCAAGCTTTTTTAGGCTTGCAGGGGGGCTTTGAAGCAGCTCTGGGCTCCCCTGACGACTGCCCTTGGACCCCCCCAACTTTATTTACTTTCAAGGCCCGGACATCACTAACAACTACAATCCAACTTGACCACAATAGTTAAAAATATATTGTGCAGGTACCACCGTACACTCCGGGTGTACGCTGCAAAATTGCCTCTAAAGATTCTTCCAAAGATAGATATCATTCATGGACGGAAAAAAAAGAACCTGGCATCGATTTAAGTTCCCGAAAAATCCGATAGTTTATGCCTCCCTCCCGTCCGCAGACACTGTCTTGTCACGCACATTACTTTCAGCCAAAACTCTGGCCAGTGATATCTTCCCTATGATTGGCCGGACTTCATTGGCTAGATCTAATCTTTGGCGAATATCATCTGCATTGTTCTGTACTGCACAATACATACATATTTTTGATGATTTATATTTTTAAGACTTTATATATCTTTTAATGATAGTTATAGTAAATAATCTATATTATCATTAGTTATAAATAGAAGGATTATTTCTTCTACTGTCAGAATATCCACTCAGGAACCTCCCGCGTCGTCTAGACACACCTTTATCCCTTGTTGGAGAATACAAAAATTAAATCAGCTGAAGGCGACGGTAATACCATGATGGAATGAGGCGGATAGACAGCGCTGTCATCATGGTGATCATATTGTTTTCCGCTGGATACCGTAGGGCCCAATGGGGATGATTTGTCGTGAGAGAAAGAGGGAGAGCAAAGGGAAAAACAAGGAAAATGTGGAAAAGGAGGCGGACCAACGTGTTGACTGGAATGAAACTATAAAGGTAGTTTAACGTATTTGTTGCTGCATACCATTTGTTGTTCTAGTTGGCAAATCTCTGTTAGGGTAAATAATCCTGCTATCAGCCCTAGCACGTGACCCACACTAGATAGAGCCGATTGGCTAGAAAGTTTCTAATGAATCAAACGGTCCTCTCAAGAGGTTATGAGACCTTTTGTGCTTTTGTGTCATGTCGGCTTACTCCGTTACTTAGCCGTGGGGCTTGTGGTCGGGGGACCCGAATTGGATAGGAGGTTTGTTTTTATTACAGTAGTACAAGGACAAGTAGACAAACATTTTTTAAAACACGAAGACAGGACAAGAGAAGGGAATGAGAGAAGGCAGATCCGTTGGAAGCTTATTTTATTTTATTTTATTTTATTTTATTTTATTTTTATCGCCGCTTCGCTCCGATCCATAACGTCACGGAATCAGTAGTCCGTTTGTTGACAAGATCTTACATGAATACGAGGACAGACGATATGCTTGGTGGTGGTTGATGACGTAGTTTGCAAGTCAAAGAGGGAACCCGGAAGAAGCTGTCGAGTCACTCACTAACTGGGCTACACGGAATAACCACTTGGTGGCGGAGAGAATGCTGGTTGGATCATCACCCAACACTCCGGGATCTTGAGAATGATGGAAGGGAACTCTGTGTTAGGATATGCACTGAACGCATATTGCTTAACACAAATATGGATGTATTTGGATGGAGTTTATTCTACTAATAATAAAGCTACGAAAGGAGTAAATATTTGAATAAATACTAGTTAATTAGCAACAATAATATCATGAGTTGGGTCGTCTAATAATGCTTGGGAAGAGTCTGTCACCAGCCAGCCACACACCTAGGCAGATCGCATTGCAAGGATTGCAGCGACTCAACCAGCAACCGGGGGCAGTCCACACTTCCGCATTTCTTAGCTTTTAAGCCCCCAAGAAATGATGACGATGGGGCTTTTGTCACCAGCTGTTGCTGGGGGCAGTGGGGGTACATGTAGTTAGCTGGTTGGTCCAGTCAACAACAAGCAAGATTCTAGGGCTTCGTCGAAGAGATTGGAGGTTTCTGCAAACTGTCCAGCTTTCAAAACGCCCAACTCTAATCGCAAGCTATTACAGAACCCGTACTCTTGCGCCCCCAACCCGCTTTTATTTATCTCTTCCTGCTCTCTCTCACCTTCCCTCCTCTTCGTACTCTCCAAACCATTCTGCCACTGTCGATTGATTGATCATTAAACAGCTCTTCTCAAAGGAAATAAATAAATAAATAAAGACGAACCACTCTCAAACCTTCTCCACCTCCTCAACCAATCCATCACAATGGCCTTCACCGCATCGTGAGTTTTGTCCCTGCTTCTTCTACCCAACCCCCCCCACTTCCGGCTGCCCTGCCTACCTTCGCCAAACACCCGTTCTTCGAACAGGAAATCAATTTAATTAACATCATCATATACTAACCCCAATCCAGAGACGTCTGCAAAATCGTCTTTGCCATCTTCCTGCCTCCGCTCGGGGTCTTCCTCGAGCGTGGATGTGGCGCCGACCTGCTCATCAACGTCTGTTTGACCATTCTCGGGTATATCCCAGGTATCATCCATGCTCTGTACGTACTCCTCATATCTACCATTATCATTCTCTTCTCTTCTCTTCTACGAGAGACCACGTACCACGCTACACGGATCTCCCAGCTGACCTCATTGTGCAGCTACATCATTCTTAAATACTAGTCATGTGATGATACCATTTTTTTTAATCTGTGGACCCGCTGTCGCTCTTCTGTTGTTTGACGTTGCGTTTCTGCGCCATTGCGCCCTGCATGCTTCTTCTCGTTTTGTTCGAACGCCCATTCGCTCCGGTAATAATCTTGCTCGATACCGCGATTCTCCCGGCATCACACAGTTGAAATCCGCTGAGAAGTCCCCTTTTCTCATCTTTGCCCTCGGACTTATTTATTTTAAGAAAATTGGGGGTTAAAAAAAGAAAGAGAGAGAGAGAGAGAGAGAGAGAGAGAACGAGCCGACAATGAAAGATATGGTATGTTTGGTTTGCATTGCCGGTTGGAATCTATATTGAAAACAGAGGAGAATCGAACGAAAGCAAAAGCTGCTGTCCAGCGGCGCTGATCGAACGGTCCGGTCCGGTCCGGTTCGATTTCCATATTCCATTAGATTCCTTCTCGCATCTGCTTTTAAAGTCATGTTGAGCTTACTAATCAATGAGCTGTGCGTGGTGTTGATATCAATGAGGAAATGACCGAGAGTCATATAAATCTTTCGCTCTCAATTCTGGATGTCGCTCTGAATGTCGCCCTGGAGTCATATGTTTATGCTGTGGCCATGCCAATTGCTTTTCTATTTTTTTACGTTGATAAGGTCTGCTTTCGTCTCTATTCTTTTCTCCTCCCCTTTTCCCTTCCGTTGTCTCCATTTTCTTAACGGACAACCCTGTTCTGTTCTATTATACAAATGATACCAGTTCCTCCGCTCTGATTTCCGATTTGACTTCGTAATGGCATTTCTTTATTTCTCTTTTCTTAGCCACTTAGTGAAAAGCTCCTTCTCCCTTTTTGACTTTTGTGTTTCTTCACATTTCACGTTTGTCAGTTTGTTACATAGCTTTTATCAAAGGCATACCCTCTTTTAACGTTCGACTCTAATCGCGTCTTGTCTCTTTCTCCCCATGGGTCACGGAAATGGCAGTATGATTAGCTGCTGAGCCTGTCATAATCTTACCTGGAAAGTTCGTTAGCCATGATCATAAGTGTATTTGTCTGGGTGTAGTAGCTGTGAGCTCCTCTGATAATAGGGAAAGTCGATCGGTTATTCTCCCTTTCCGTTCCGATTTCCCCGTTCTCCTCCCTTTCCATAACCTTGAGTCAAAAGCAGTATGTAAATGTGTGATATATTTAGTTGGCTTATCGATGTCATTGAGCTTGGATGATATCTCGCATACTTTCGTATCCGTGATGTGCCGTACCTGCAGATTAAGCACGGTTCCAGGAACAATCGTATTGTTCGCCATAGCGTTGGTTTTATTCATGTACTTTCACACTCCGTAGAAATTGCAGAGAGTAAAGCATGAAATTGTGTCTCTACATGTAGCTTATCCCACATTTCTCATTAGGGAGCCTACATATGACGTTTAAAATCCTTGTATTAGTAGCGCCACCACAGGCGTCAACCAGGGAGAGCACCCTATTCGGAGAACCCTGCAGGCCTCCTTTTTAACCGGCTTTGATCCCCGCGTCCATACAAGGATAATCAAGTAAATTATGATTTTGCATATACAACCACCCCTTACGACAAAAATATGGCAAAAATTTGAGTTGATGGATCATGGCGAGGCAGACATGCAGACCATACACTAATTAGTCCTATATCCATGCATCCGCTTTCCTCTCCCTAACGATATGCCTGGCGCGAGACGGGGATTTTCCAAGGATGAAAACAGTTAATTACGTCACTCCCTGTCCAAGTAACTAAACCACGTGATTCATCATTGCTTTTACTGTAGACGCCTAAACCATCCTCAACCCTTGAACGCTCAGCCAACAGAACACTGATCAGCCATCGTATCCCATACGGAGCGGCGCTTAAAGGCTGTCAAGCATCCCGCATCCAGCATCCAGCGTCCAGTGACCACTGGCCAGCCCAAGCAAACTTCCTGTGAACTCCCATCCAACAATGTCACATTCCCACTGCTGTTTTGCGGCGTTTCACTTTGGCGCCTACTCACGTCACCCTCTTTTGGACCAATGAATTGCTGCCATTAACTAATGCTGACTTCTCGAGCCGCTGCCATGCAATCAATTTCACTATCTTCCACACAATGATGTGTGATGTTGTTACTTGAGGTCTTAGATTGGTGGAGAGCGAAATGGCTGGAGTTGAGGAAATCCTCATCCAGCCAGACCCAATGACACTTTTCTCGTCAACCGCTTGTCGAGTCGAGGAGGTCCAGCCAGGAATATCCTGTTTCATTTATTCTTACATGCTTTTGCTCCTCATGCTTTTGGTGGAATGAAGGAGTAAAGATTCTTCAGCGGCTTCAGTGGGCCTGTTGTAGCTCTACGGATTAGTGTGATGCTTGTTCATTGGTTGATTAGATCACTTTTTATGTTTTGCTTTCGACTTTTATTCACCCCGGCCCTGAAGCCTGGCTATCATGCTGCGAGGGTTCTACGAGCTCGCGCTCTCCGGAGTGTCGGATCCTCTGGGTGGATGGAAGAATTATTTGCTTCTTTTTGTGCAAGACGTTCATTTTTCCAGGTCCTTTTCCTTTCCTTATTTGTTTCTCTTCGATTTCGTTTTTGATATCTTTTGGGGTTTCCATTCTCTGTTCTTTTCGACTTTTTCCTTACTATTTTGCGCATATAGCAAGTGTTCCAATCTTTTATGCTGTACATCCTTTTATACATGTCACTTTTACCTGCCGTTTTGTTCTCGGTGTTCTAGGTCTCTCCCAGTTCCCAGATCTGTGTCTCTCCATGCCGGCAAGTCAGTTCCTGTGCTGACTATGCCACTACGATGATCTGATCTTGGTTAACACGTCGGGATTGTTGCCTTATAGACTCTGGGTTAGTTTGAATCAGTATGCCTTGTGGGAAACAAGGTGTATTTTGGGGTATCACACTCTGGCATTTAACTGCCTAAATTCTTCCTCCTGGTGTCTGTATTTTCACCCGGGCCATTCTTTTCATCCTTCCTGAAAATTTCCTTCTTATATACATGCTGTGCCCTCCGCCACAGCATATAACATAGATCAACGGGGGACGCGCAGTTTAGCTCATCGTTTCCCCCAATCTAGAGCTGCCACAGCATGCCTCGTCGTTCTCAGAGGTTGCTAGAAAACGTTCTCCGGCTCGCAGTTGCAGCTCGAAATCAGTTTCCCCCGTTCTGTCGGGCAGAAGGAATCTCACCCCGTGCCCCAGATTCAATAACCGTTAACCTTGTCCCTATCTGTGCGCAGGGCTGTCTATCCTTATTTATACAGTCCAATTTCCCGGCCGCCAATTGCGCGAATTCTCGCGATCTTTTCTGTCTATGTACTAGAAGGTCAATTTCAGGGTATACCCTTGGCGAAGGTGCCCTACGCTGTGTGATATCCTCGTGTTTGAACCCTGGGAGCGAGGATTTACGGTTATATGCGATTTGCTCCGGGATACGAAATGCCATTCCGAATACACATACTGTCATCACGGCCACGGCCCTAGCGAGGCACACGTCCACGGCTACGGTCATGACGACAAAGCTACATTCAAGTTCAACTCATTCAAATACCTCGTTTAAGGCCACGCGACTTACAACTTCACACACAAGCGTAACCACTTCTTCCTCTCTGGAAATACGAACCAGTTTAAGGACGAGCCAACGACCTTTACCCACGACCCATTTATCCAGTATCTCGACCTTAGCTCAACCAACAGCAATTCCTTCAGAGCCCCCTGTCCCACCCAATGTTGCAGCTCCTCTCAATAAAGGGCAGGTAATAGGGGTTTCAATTGCAGGTGCAGTTTCAGGGTCATTTTTATTGGCCTTGCTCATCTTATTCATTTTACGACGCCATCGTGATAAAGTTTTAGCACTGAAGGAGAGCGGATTCGAAATTGGTGGACAGATGTCCGAGCCTCCTCGACAGGATACCCTGGCTGGCTATCGAGGCGATCCGACTGTGAGAACGCCTGTTGGCTTATATAACGAACCAGTTGTTCATCGGCTTACACTTTCCAATAATATTGTCCAGCAATCAGCTGCTGCTACTACTGTTAATGGTTTGCCACTGACCAATTACCAGCACAGTGACGACGATGATGCAAGTCTGTCAACCCCCAAAGCGTCAAAGGCACCCCCTAGACTCTCATTGCTGCTCCCCGAAAAACCAAATTATGAAATACTTTCCCAGCACCATCCGAGTACCAAAAGTGCGGGGCGTCGACCAGACAGCTCAGCCACGGTATTTGAAGAAGAAGGTGAGAAGGATAGGAGAGCTTTTTTAGCTGCGAAAAATGGCAATGGTCAGCAAAGCCAACACTCAAACAACAGATATAATTACACGGCCGCATATCAAACCGATTCGCGGCGGCTAGGGCATGGCTATCCATACCCGACATGTCAGAATAATGGACGACAGCAACAACAGCAACAGCAGCAGCGCCCACGCCAACGGCAGCAGCCTCCAAGCTTGAGACTTGTAACCCCTTCCAACGGAAATAATTCTCAGACCCTAATCAATATGACTAGTTCCGCTCCATTAGTCTACCCATACCGACGTGTGGAATTTGGATCGTCTATTCACCCCATCGGACCGCCATCAAACGGACACTCAGGTGGCTATTCACAGGATGGGTTCGGAGCTGCAGCTGGAAGGATCAGGAGCCCAGTCGAACACCAATCGAGTCAGAATAGGCGACAAGCAAACCATCGAACTTCCGTTTCGTCAATTACGAGCTTTGAGTCCGTAGAGTCAGACGACGGGAATAGGCGTAATGCTGCAACCTCTTTAAAGCGTGCCACGCTCCGCCTTAGCCCCGTCAGAGAGGGGCCTCCCTCCCCAGACTTAAACGCCTATTCAAACCCTACAGTCAGGCCGCTAAGGTACCAGACAGCGAATCGACGATCTGTTCGGTTTAACGACATCGTTCAAGTTCAAGGAGGAAGAAGCAGTAACCTTCCAATAGGAAGCAGGGGGGATAGCAGCGCACGTCTCTATCAGCCGTATCAATATCCATATCCATATCCAGACCCAGGTCGATCCGTTGCTGCCAAGGCTATTCCTAAATTCCCAAAGTTCCATCAACCACTCCGCCCGCCCGTATTTCCGGCAAGCCAGCAGCAACAGCAGCCTCTATATTCACCATATGCCAACAATGAACAGCGAAATAGCGGGGCCAGCAGCAACAGCAGCCTCCTAAGCAAGCGTCGTGGAGAAGCCGTGGCGGATAGGATGGAGAGAGAATTGGATGTTAACAAGGCCAGCCCACTGCGGCCCAATCCGTTGAAAGCCGTGGAGAACCCAATAGTGGAAACTGAGGTAACACAGTGAGGATTTAAGACGCCATCACCGTCATTGGCGTTGAAGCGGCAGAAGGAGCTGGCCCAGCGACAAAAGCAGAGACAGGGCCTAGATGAGACAGATAAATGGGAAGATGACGATAAAGAGTTGTCGGAACAGGGAGCCCAGAAGGGAACAAAATTAACTCCCAAGAGACGAGGGCCAGATTTATATCTTAATGTTGAGTGAGAGAAGTTCAAGGTTTTCCCTTTTGTGTCGTTGGTTTTGCATAGGGGCTGGTGCTGCATCATCATCATCATCATCATCATCTGTATTTTATTGTGCAGGAGTAACGGTTATGGGTTCCGTTTATGAAGGTGTTATACCACACCTTCGTCACTTCCATTCCTTGAATTCCCTTTCCCCCGCGATTCTTCACTTTTCTCTTCTGTATTGCCGATACAAATCAAGAAAATACATGGGTGGACAGATGAGCCCCCCGCATTTGGTTTTTTCCTTTTGAGATCAGACGCCACTTGTGATTCTATGCCGTGAGGATGCATCGATGTTGACCGCATCATATATGTCTTTATTTTACCCTTCCTTGCTATCATTTCATCGATATTCTCATCATGATCAATCTGGTTTTAGCTCATGTATAAAAACTTCCTCTTTCCATTCCCGTCACATGTTTATATTTCGCAACTTTCATTCCTTCATTCCATGATGTGAGCACAATTACCAACTCAAAATTCATAAAGTAAACGCCAAGTATTTGGTCCAGGCTAAAAGCCTGCTGCCATTTGAAATACCAGAGGTCAAAGTCCATTACATATGTTCGCCCTTGCTGATATCGACGCTAGATTTGGTCAGTGGTACGGTCTGCCTGATGTTTCTCATTGATTTTACAATGTTCCTAGATGGACAAACACTCAACAATCTCGGTTGGATGGTTTCCTGGGACGATGTTAACGAGGCCTTCGATATTATGTATTCGGGGAGAGGAGCTTAACCCTGGAGATGGTCTGTTGGCTTTGGAAATCCAAAAGGGGATAAAGGAGTTTCTGGTTCGATTGCTGTCAGGGATCTCTCCATGATATGGATCCTACCGCGCTAATAGATGGGTATATCCATGTCCAGCCGGAGCCGCCAGCCACCACGAGGGACCCAACTGGGTGGTTCACCATATCCTCTATTGCTGCGGAGGCCCCATAGCGCGTCCCAGCTAACATTGATTTCGAACGACTCCAGGCCGTGTTCGCAGCAAGGCGTTCCGCTGCTGTTGGCCATCCATATCTTTTCTCTTCGAGAAGATCCCAAGTACTTCTACTGCATCCTGTTAGGAACATCGGCAGAATCTTCTAGATGCGAATAAACAAGTTTAATCCGGTACCAGGGACTCCCTTGTTTTGGGCTCCGGTCTACAGCTCAGTGACCAACAGTACCATCAAAAGGTCTCATCGCGTATGACGCTCTTTTCCACCAAACCGAGAGATTATCTGCTTTACGAGAAAAATACTGCGCCAAAAATTTCGCCAAAGGCAAAATTGCCGGATGTATATATGAAACTTCTCTTGGTGTTTCGACAAATGTTGAAATATGTGACACTCGATATCAAGAGACGGGAGGGAATATTAACATAAATAGCATAAGTATCAAATTGTTAGTGGACTTCGAGGGAACCAGTTCCCGCGGAACATATATAGTTGTGCCAGGGTCTATCCTCGCTCTAATCCTGCTTCCTTCATCAGGAAGCCTCGGTGAGCCAACCTCGTGAGAAAATCTGCTGATAGGTATTTGACAATGGAGATGAATCAGTTCTAAAGGGAAGGAGTAAAAATCTATAATGAATAGAAATAATATTGCTTTCGCTCCTGGTGCATGCTGTGTGTCTTTTTGATTCTCATGAGTGTGTGCATCCTAAGGGACAATTGACTGTAGTCCCAGATTCCAGCCCTGAAGGTATAGAGTGAAAGCTGTTCTGATATAAACTTAATAAGAGATAAAAGGCTCTGTATGCGAAAGATCATTTAGTGATATATTACGCGACCTTGGGAGCATTCCCCAGCAGTTGGGTGGGGAAATTTTCATCAAAAGCAAACTTGGGCATATTCCACAAACAATGACGTCCCGTTGAATCCTCGGGTTAACGGTTACACGGGCGGACATCACAGCTGCAATGGCGGGAATGATACTCGGTGTTAAGAGGCAGCTACATGGCTCGTGGTACAAGTATGAGCCAAAGCATCACTCATCCAAGCTCGTTTATCGTTGAGTTGGGAGCAGGAGCAAGTCTGTTGGCCATAGGAGCCCAGCTGAAAATCGCGGGAATAGTTCCATCTTCGTATACGCCCCCGTCTTCACCAGGATCGAATACCAACCATTCTCACATTTGTTGGATTGGCTGTACGCGTTTGTGCCACGGATATCAGATTCAGGGGTAACGTATCTCCCACGAAGTAAACAGTATCCGGTGCCGAGTCGATGCCATGTCGGAGGAGCCGTGTGGTAAACTGGAATGTCCCTAGCTGAGGCTTGCCAAATGCAGTTGTCTTGAGTCCCTTGCCCGTTGCTGCTTTGAAAAAGGGCTCTGAAAGATGCTCGCAGGGCTCCCATGCCAATCCGTGTATGTTCACGGGACGTAGACCAAACAATATCGGTTGTGGGAGAAGTAGACTGGGGGTCCATCCATCGTCAAAGGTTTCGGATCGTGTGCCAATGCGACCGCCCTTGGACATGCACAGGTCCAGAATGATCTGTTGATGGCCGGCCCAGCCTCTGCTGTCAGCGAAAACAAAGGTAGCTTCTATGATGGTGGTTTTGAAGTCCCTGACACACGAGTTTCTGTATTCCTCATCGGTTAATTTTCAGAAGGGGGGTGGGTGGTGTCTTTGTTGGCCTTGATGAGCTCACCGGGTGTTACGACGTCCTTGAAACCGTATCCTTCAGCAACGATTCTGCATTTCTCACCCTCTCCGCCAACGACGAGCACGGTATGGTATTTCTCAACCATCCTGAAACGATGGTATGACTGGAGAAAAGTGATTGTGCACAGTGGGATGAAATTGTGGATAGCGCCAGGATTGGTCGCATGAGGTTGTTATCATCCTTGTTCGATGCAACTTGCAATAATTTCGATGGGGAGCTCACCCATGACGTCATCATAAACGGCGAAATTTCAAAGCCAGGAGCCTCCTGTCGTTCTCCGGAACGCTAAAACCAGCCTTTACTAAGCTAAGCCAAATACAGTTCAAGTCCTTCCCCGTTACCCCTGAATCTGCTTCTCGGCGAACAACGTCATCGTGGACATCCGATGGTTTGCCCATCTTCGTTTCTTCCATCAAACCTCTGCAGATGAGACCAATAGCCAGAGTGGGAGCTGAACGTTTTTCAGAAGGTGGATATTCTAGGCAAAGTGGGTTAAGTTAAATTTAACGAAATCCATTTTGTAAAAGAAAGGGATTTCGATCCAATTCATTCGTCATTATTTAGTCTTTTACTCTCCAACTTTGATATCTTTCTAATGCATTGTGGAAATCCGTTGTTTCACGCTATCATAGTTTGTGGTGTGTAATATAGCAAATTTGCCGAAAACAGGGTAGACGTGAGACTTGTTCCTAACTTTCCAGTGGGAGCGAGGGAGCCAAGTACCGTCTTCCCCTATCAGTATCTGCAATATCATTCTTAAGACAGCAGATTAGCCAGCCAATGGGAAAGAGAGCAAAGGGGGAAGAGAACAAACCAATAAGAAACAGTGGAATTAAACGGAGGATGTGGAACGGGTAGAATAGATTTGCCCGGGTAGCCCTCGACTGTTACTATATTCACTTATGCATATGATCTTCTCGATGGTGTCAGTCAGTATCAGCATGTGGTGCAAGGATGGAAATATACTTGTCATAAGCATTTAAGTTCAGTCAGTAATGAGTCAACGAAAAATCTAAATCTTGTTAGATGAATTATGTGAGGCAAAGTAATGAAGGAGCTGGTAACTATCATAGGCGCGAAGAAAAAGGAAGATATTTTTGTCAAGATATTGATACTCCAGGATTGCTATCAGTTCAAGCAGCAGAAAAGAAATAAAAATATATAAAAAAAAACTGAGTGAAGCTCAGGAGGGTAACATGTGTATGTTCTGGGCTTTGGATCTACCTATGGATGCAAGAACGTCTATCCTTAAAAAGTACTGGCAGTCAAATGGACAAGGAAATTTCGCATAAACCAATCTTGATGAAAGGGAAAGTTGAGCAAAATGACGGAAGCAAAAATGACAGCAATGATCAAAACACTAATGGAACAAACGGCTGATCGCGTTCACAAACGCCTTTTGGGATGGCATCTTGACAACCCAACATGCAATGGCAGTTATTTCTCCCTAGTTTCAAGGAGAATGATTCGGCGCAATTCGAGAAAAGAATTTTGAAAAGGAGATAAAGAATGGAATCAGTGGCGAAAACTTGATCTTCAGCTCCGAAAGAGTTCGCAAATCTCCATGGGGCCTTCATGCTGGTTTTTTAGTGCTGGCGAATTAAAAATGTATCCATATGGGAAGTGACTTGACGGGCAACAGTGGAGAATTCCCCAAGTACCCACCAGGCCATACGAATGATGCCTTGACCATGACAAGACAATAGTAAAGCGAATGGTTGTAAGCCAGCGGTCCTTTACATCGGCGCACGTGCTGTACCCCGACCTGTCTTGTGTCTTTCCTCTCCGCTCCGCCCCACTCCTCCCATATTCCATAACCCTCCTTCTCCACTTCCTCCTCCGGTTTCTTAAAACCAGACAATGTTAACGAGCTAAGAGGAAATTGGGGCGATTATCCGTCAAGCACAAAACTCGTTCTCCAGCCAGTGACTTATCACAATCTTTCCTTCGTTGAAGTTCTTCTTCGGCATCCTCACGATGATAGCCGCATGGCTGTGAGCCACATTGTGGATATGCACCGGGTATTTCCGGAACCCAATAGAATTCAGGCTGTCGATTATCTCGAATTGTAAAGGTGTTAGCGCCAAAGTGCGGAACTCGGGAATTCCGCTTGGGGTTTCAGTTGGAGAATTTGCGGCATGAGGAGAACAAAAAGAAGCAGAAGAAGAAACTGGAGACGAAGTAGACCGCTTAACAATACGGCTGCTGCATTCCTCGTTCAGAATCATTTGCGATGGGATGCTGCTGTGTGACTGTTCTATTATCGGTATGAATGACGACTGGGTTTGTTTAGCTGGGGAAGATGTACCCCCAGCCATGCCACCATCTTCACCGCCAAGAAGGTATTCCGGCTTTTGGGCGGCGTTTACTATCTCATACATATCTTCCACAGCATTCTGCATTTCTTCCACGATCAACGGGACTTTGTATGTGCCAAAAAACACGCCAGATTTGCCTTCTTCATGGATTCGAATGCGCCTCTGACTGCGAAGAGTCTGGACCCCAGCGTTTATGAGGTAAAGAAGAGATGCAATCGGCACGAAGATACATAGAAACAGGTAGAGTGGGAGGTCAGCGAAAAATGACATGCTCTGATCAAATATCCATGTGCGGAAGGGCGCCGACTCCTCCTCTTTTAGAGTGACATACTTATCAGGGTTCACAATAACTGGAGAGTAACCCAGCGCATAATTTATATCGTACTTATCTAGTTGAATAAAGGGATCAGTTTTCGATATGGCCGTCGTATAAAAAACAGTCGCCCTATCATTGACGATATTTGCGTAAAGGCTTCGACGACGAAATTTTGCCAGTCCCAACATAAATATACTTCCTGGAGTTGCCATGACGCTAAGTAGAGGCTTGCCCGTGTCTCGGAATGAATCGATCATGAAGAGTTGACGCCCAGATGCCGAGATTGTTCTCGCACCAAGGACATTCCAAAAGTGGCTCTTCCTCGCTGGACTTCTTACACCTACATGTGGAGATGCAAAAGTTGTAAAATTAATAGGTTGCAGTTTATCAAAATAGCCCTTCGAATATAGAAGCCCAATCGCATACCGAGCGATTAGTCCACCCAGGGAGTAGCCCACCATGCTCAGTTTCCGGATATCGTAGCCTTGGCTCTCTAAACTTTCAAGGGCCTCTTCGACCTCGTGGGCCACACGCTCTCCGCCACGCTCAATTCCATCGTAAGTAAGTGACCCAGCATTACGCTTCACGGCCAGAATGTAGAGCTTATCTGCATGCTTTTCTCGCAGGGCACCCGCGATATAGTCAAAATGGGAAGGATTCCCATGCAGCCTAGTCAACTAAATGTTAGCCCATTAGTTCTGAAGGAGTCTAGCTGGATATAAATTAGAGCCGCTGAAAAATCAAGAAGTATATCAACATAAAAAACAATAAGTATATGAACTCTAATAGTTAGTTACCTCCTCCAGCAAGGGGCAACTCACCCATGAACGAGGACGCAGAGATGATCTGCACTCTTCTTGTTAGCTGGAGAATAGGGCCTAACTTCTCCCTCCATTGCAATGGAACCTCGCACTGCTAGGATGAGAGAAGAAAATGAACAGGAAGAGACTTGGTGAAGTCGGCGTTGTTGATAACGCAGGAGACTTTTTTTTTTGTTCGCCTTCCTTCACTATCGGCAATAACCAGTTGCAGTTTGCATTGTTTGCTTCCCGGTTGGCGTTTATTATTATTATTATTATTATTATTATTATTACTTATTTAATGCCTGGAGGCACGTGATCAGCTGACTAAGAATAGTCTGCCATCGCGGCCACAGCACCTCCCTAAGGGTATCAGGTGTGCCAGCGCAGCAGCTAGTCTGCTGCCTGACATGTCTAGTCGGCCGAAGCCCTCTTGAGAGTCTATGTACAGAGTAGCCTCTGTCCTGGAGGTTCTGAATGGTGTAGTAGCTGAAGATTACAGGACTGAGGAAGTCAAGAGCTTCTAGAGTGGTGTATAGAGGTGATGAGAAATGTATATAAGAAACATAGAAAAGAGAGAGAGGGAGAGAGAAGTTAGATGTTGAACAAATTCTAGTAGCAGTGTTGGATGTCAATGAAGAAGTGGGTATTAGTGCATCAGATAGAGAAGATCATAGCTTCTCTTATTGTGCTGAGAAGTCAGTCAATTACTTTTTTTGATTCTCAGCATGTTTCAGAGGTTTTAATTTGTTTAATGTTCTAGTCTTTCCAGCAAAATAAGAAGTGCTCAGAGGTTTTATCTCAGCTGCAAGAGCAGATGAGAAGTGTGTTGTCATGTGCTCATCTGTGATGATAGACTGCAAAGTCATCATGATCTGTTCTAGCTACCAGCAAGTGATTTAAGTTCCTTCAGAAAAGAGTAAGCTCAGAGAAGAATTCTTTTAACATTGAAATATTGAGGTTCTTATATCATGATGTGCTATTGAAGCTTCAGTATTGTTGCAGTGAGGCATTGAAGTGTTCTTTAGCATAGAATTTGATCTGTGTTAGAGTCAGAGTATAGTGAGTGAATTTCATTATGCAGATTGACTTGACCACAGCATCTGCAGCATTATTATCTGAAATTTCAGCATGATCAGAGCATCATCAAACATAGACTCATCTCAAATCAGCTGGACCTAGGCTCTATTTTGTTCAGAATCTGCAGAGTTCATTGAACTTAGCAAAGATAAGAAAAAATATTCATATGAATGTGTTTATATGAAGTCTTATTGCAGTCTCTTCATTGTCTAAAGTCACTATAATGTGCTATGTGAATATAGAGAAGAGATTCTGTAGCATTGTCTCAAGATCAGCAACTGCTGCAAGTACTTCAGCATCAAAAATCTCAGCAGTGTAGCTCAGAGACAGCTTATCAAACTTTAGAGATTGATTTATTTCTTGATATAAACAGTAGTCTCTGTCTAAAACTTCTTGACTGTCTTTGAAGTCATCAGTGAATGTGATGAGATTGAGAGGGAATACAGCTTTTTGAAATTAGTTTTAAAAAGCTGTTGATTCTACAGCTTGTCTCACAGTCTCAATTTCTAATGTCTTTTACTCTCTATTTGATATACTAGAATTGTCTCAAGAAGACAAGAACTCTGAATCA